ATCGTAGAAGTTGTGCAAGTCTCACCAGTCTGCGCTCCCTTGGCGTGACGAATCCGCGTTATCATCGTCGAAATGTTCTCCTCCGTCTCTCTGAGCTCCATCGTTGCTGCTCCCGCGGCCGCTTGGAGTTGGAGTTGCTCCACTCGTCCCGCCGCAGCGTGCGCCGTAACGTCCGTCGCCGCAGCGTCCGCGGCATGGCCCGGCGCTCGTCGTCGCAACACCGAGGCCGCGGCGCTTATCGCCATGCGTTGCTGAACCATGACCCCCTGATTCGACGCGTGGAGTAACGCGGATATCCGACGCGCTTCTTCCTGATCCGATCGGGTCCCACTTGTGGCACAAGTTAATGCCGCCGAAAACCTTCCGCGAGTAATAGTTGTTGGCGATTTCGCAGCAACTTCCTCCTCCGACGCCTTAACTTCGCCGAAAAGAACGGGTTTGATGACCGCACAGACCTTTTGTTCCTCCTCCCTCAGGACTCGCGGCAGCTGACGTGGCACGCGGCCTTCGTCTTCCTTCGGTTGCGCGGCGCGCCGATGAGGATGATGTTCGCTCTGCGGCTGGGGCGTTGGTTGCGCCACGTGGCATTGTTGCTCCCAAAAAGCGCGACGATGTGGTAGGCTCGGTGTCCGTGGTACAGTCGGCGGCTGTCGCAGCGCGTGTTCCGGCGGAGATAGCGAAGGAGAGTCCTTAGTAAAGTGCTGCCATGATTTCTGGTGGCTCGACTTTCGAGGCACCACCGGATGTTGCGGCGAATGTTGCGGCGGCGAAGGCGGCCCGGAGGGGGAATGCTGCTGCCATGATCTCCGCTGCTTCGGCTGCTGATGCCAGGCTGCTCGAAGGAACTCCCAGTTCTCCTTCAAGGATTGCGACTCGGAGAGTGACGAGAAAGGATCCGCCGCAGGCTGCGACGACCGGCCGCGGCGACTCAGTCGTTCCTGCGACGAACTATCTTCGCACGTTCTTTCAGCCGTTTCAAACACCGCCGCATGAGGTGTTTCCCGAAGAAACGGCTCATCTGATCGCCATAATAGCTCTCGCTGGTCTGCGCCTTGATTCTTTCCGAAAGAAAGCGACCATGTCGTTACGGGTATATGACATTCCCCCGTATTTACAAACTCCGCTGAAAATGGTCTGCCTCCGGCGGGGATACCATCGGGCGTCGCGGCGATGGCCGCAGCTGACTCGGATGCCATAACACTCGGATTCAACGCCTCTGACGTCATCGCGCCTACAAGTTCTGCGAGAGTCAGCATCGCGTCTACCTAAGCAGTTCAACAAATATTGGTTAGGCTGTTGATACGAAGTACGAGCTCATAAATCTACTCGCGCGTCTTGACGTTAGCTTTACAAATAGAGGACTAAAACGAGGTTGGCGATCGAGGATGCAGGAATATACAAGCATCATGGGATCTTGGGTGTGGTTTTTCAAGGATGGAAAGAATCAAGACAGGTGGTTGAGATGGACAGATAGTGTCCGAAGAGTACGTTTGAATGCGGCTCAGAGAGATGCTTGACGTTTAACATCTTCCAAATACCAATTTAGAATGGTTAGGAAGGGTCCCAAGCGAAATTGAACGTCAACTCTCTTTGATTGGAGAAATGGGAGTACGGCGACGCGACACTGGCCGAATATTTCCCCAGCTCTAACACATAGGGAAGAGCAGGGATGGGGGAGGTGGGCAGGTGGTGACTTTGACAGTGTCGAAATCATCCGCTGACAAGCGTGGCAATACTGTACACAGCATGATTAGTGTTCAACAAACTACCGAAACAAGCCACTGTACACATCTTGCCTGCCAAAAAATATCCACACCACATGCATAGCTGCTTCGAGTGTCTCTCCCCTCCCCTATCTCTGTGTGGCCGAGCGGTATGCTTGTTCCCGCCAGACCACTCTCTGGTTGTGAATCAACCAGAATACATTGTGGTGTACCGTGACGTGACTCGTGTCTACTCGCATAATTGTTGGGTGATGTCCAGGAGCCTTCGTTTACGCATCAGTGAGGTGTCAGCAGCAGCTGAGACGTGGGCAGTGATGTGTCAAGATTCACCCAACGAACACTGGGTGAGGTTGAAGTCATGACTGAGGTGAGAATATCTTAGATATTTATGCGAAAGCGTGGGAATCCGGTGCATGGTTGGATTGCTGGTTCGAGAATTGACATTCGCGTCGCGTCACGCACGACAGTTCTGCTCCAGATTCGACTCCATGCCATTGTCGGTTCATAAATATCATCGGTCCTTTCTCCACCGTCTGTGGGGTCACAAGCAGACGAAAGTTTCATTTTTGTGTGACCCCATCGCAAGAGGACCATCGGTTTCTGAGGTTGGCTTGCTTTGGTTCGGCGTTCAATGCGGTTTTTTAAGAAAGCTGCAAGGGAGAGTACATGCTAGCTCTATGTTTTCAGATTGTTTTTGAAATTATATCTAAGTTTACTCCAACAGTCCAAGTTTGTAGAATTTTGCTCACGCGAGGCCCAAATTATGTTCAAAACAGGTCCTCTAGGGCTCAAATGACACGTGTCTATTTCGAACAAGAATTTCTCGACGGGGCAGAAAACATAATACTACTAGCGAAACCAGGACACTTCTAGGGAGGGATCAACCCTGAACACGGGAACCCACCCGGTGTTTAGGGTTGATCCCTCCCGAAATGTGCCCCGTCTCCCTTGGGGTATTATGTTCTGTTTACCCCGTTAATTAAATATCGGTGCGAAAAGAACACGTGTCGAAATTTTGGCCCCACAAGACCAGTTTTGAACATAATCTGGGCCTCGCGTAAGCAGAATTCCACAAAGTTGGACTTTTTGGGTGAACTCGAAAGTAAATTTGATATATTTTTGAAACTAAGGACCTGGCATGTACTTTCCCAAACTGCAATCTGCGTTGAATTCGTGGCAGCCGTCAAAGTCGGATTTGTGTGGCTCTGGCCGCTGCTAGAATCTGCCACATCAAAAACTCCAGATCGATGTAGACGTTGCTCACATGAAACCGTTTCTGTCGGGTCAGTTTGGGTTGTTACACAGCGACAACGGAACGTAAACTGCTGGAAGTTGATTTGATTGCCTCTTCAACGGGCAACGGCTGGTCTTGAACAAGTCCGTTCCGTACAGTACCTTAGCAGACCGAACCGAACCGACCCCCATGTGCGTCCCCCAGCCCATCACAGCACCCCCTCGTGAGGAGGCACAAGGATAACCTCGGGCTTGCGGCCTCACGCGAAGGTAGATGCGACGGCCCTTTTCGACCGGAAACGTCCAGCCATGTATCAGAGCGCAAGAGCATTGGACAGAGAAAGTCTGTCGTTTTCACATAATCACAATACAAGTGGGTGGAGGAAACAATCAAATGTCTGTTCTGCACAACGAGGGATCAGTTGATGAGGATTTCCAGTCAAAGCATTAAATTTTCTTCATGTACACGAACTGTTCCACACAAAAACTCGTGGATTCCATACGAGGAAATCCATCTGTACTTGAACGAATTACTTTAAATTTGAGAGAAGCAGACACGAATTCCGAGACCTACTGTGGGGTGGGAACCAGAACGCAATGTAATGTACGTGTCCGTGACACTGGATGAGCTTTGCAAAAGAGCCTGGTCACTGGCAGAACTTGCATTCCCCGCCCTCTTCAGTCAAAGCTACTTTGAAAATCGGCAACACACATCAATGTGCTGCACGCGTGAGGAATGCTTGTTGCCCATTGTCCATCAAGCCCGAAAATATCCATCCGTACAGTTCCAAGTTCTCTACAGCTGTGCACAGTGTGGTGCAGACCTCCCCGAATTACAGCTAATGCCCGTTAGAGTCTCCCGGTCGCCTTGTGAAGGGGGTCTGTAAGCTAAACCTGCATTTCGCGTGAGGTTCGTTCGTTTCGTCAGGCGTCTAGCGTGCTTCAAAACTGCACATGGTAACCACCCTATTTGTCTGACTCGCAACAGTAAGGGTTCGCAGCACTTGTCTCTGTTGTGTGTTCATGGTTACTAAACAAAGCCTACAGTAATGAAATAAGCAGGTTCAATAATTGTTCCTCATAGTACAAAACAACCACCACACAAACCTCATCCAATCAACAACCCCCACCTGGCCCCTCAGCTTCATTCAACACACAAAGCAAAACACGCACAAATGGGCATAAGGAGTGCACACTGAGAGCCCACCAAAATGCCTTCGACACCTTGATGGGACTGCTCCACCACCCCTCACAGGCGCATCCACTCAGCCGCGTCCACATACCCGTCCATCACGGCGCCCACACCGGCGTCAAGCAGCTGCTGACGGCGGGACGGCTGGGTCATCCAACCAGGCAGCACACGGCCGCGCGGACGAGGGGTCTTGGGCGTGGGAGTTGCGCCGGGGGTGGACACGGGCTAAGGGGCCACGTTGAGGTTGAATGGCGGGCTCGCCCGCTCCATCCGCGCGATTATGATGGGGTTGCGGATGTCAAAGGGATGGCAGAGATCGCGCGGCATGATGCACGTGGCTCGAGCATATCCGATGATCATTTCGCATGCCGCCCGGGTAGTGCGGCGCGCTTCGCGGCCCACGCGGTCGGAGTCGTCGTAGACGGCCTGCATGGTCGTCGGCGCCTCCCAGAGCTCCACAACCATGCCCACCTCTGGCTCCGTCGTGGGCTGTCCCGTAGCGCCTTCGGTGCACGTCGGCTCGCCGTCGTCGATGCTGACGTACTCATCGCTCCTGTCCCGAGGTCGAGCCCGCTAATGAGCGTACCGACATCGTCGATGTCGTCGTCGAGCTCAATGTCGGGATAGACGGGAGGGATAGGTTCGTCGTCGTGTGCATGTGGCAGATCCATGGACGACGAGAGCGGAAGACATCCCGTGCGCCACCAGCACCATTGGATGGTGCGCGCGCCGACGAAGGTCCACCCGTCCGACAGCCACCCCAAGACGTCACGCAAGTTCTGGCGGTACCGCGCCACGGCGCTAGTCGCGCCGTCGGCGTTCCACGAAAAGGCCCGCAACCAGTGCTGGCGTTAGCGGGCCTTGGCGGTGGCGATGATGCCCTGATCGAGTGGCTGAGTGAATGCGGTGGTGTTCGGCGGCAGGAAGACGAGCCGCACGTTGCTCATGCACGTCGTCCGCATGCCGCATACGATCTCGCTCCATGCGTGCTCGCTCCTGAGCATGTGGCTGCTAGTGTTGTCGAGTAGCACGACGATGTGCCGATTTTCGGCGTACATAGCAGCATTGAGCTGCGATATGAAATGCGTGAATAACTGTGGGCGGGGAAGGGAGGTGAAGGCATCGTGCAGAGGAAACATAGTTAGCACAGGCATATTCGTCATCCAGCCTTTCGCGTTATGCCGCCAGTAGCAGAGGGCCTCGGGGTCATAATCCGAGCGGAAGTCGTGGGGGCGCTTCGCCTTGCTGATCACGAGCGATCGGAATGCGTGGCTCCCGTCCGCATTGACGAGGAATGTGACGATCAGCCGCTCCTTCGAAACTTTGCGGCATGGTATGCGGCCGTTGCTGTACGTGCGCCGAGGGAGCACGGACAGCCAGAGCGCGGTCTCGTCAAGGTTGAAGGTGTCCCGCGGGCTGAGACCGAGATGAGTGAGGAGTTGCGGGAGCTTCTCCCGTGCGTCGCGCACGGCGGCCATGTCGGCGCTAGCCGCCTCGCCTTGTGCTGCACGGCACCTCACCCCCTGGCGCCGCAAAGCACGGCGCACCCAGCTGATGGAGTAGCGGAATGTGGGCGGAATGCCCATGTTCCACGCCATGGCCGCGACATGGTCGCGGATGGTCTGCAGCGTAAGGGGCACGCCAGCGGGCCCTGCGTTTGCGATCCACCGCACCATGGCCTGCTCCAGCTCTGGCCATGCGCCACCTCGACGGCGCACTTGGTTGTCGACGGTTGCCGTGACAGCCCATCGCTCAACGCTCTTCGAAAACGTGCCCGACAATGGAGCGATCCGGGCACAACCCGTACTGAGAGTAACACCACCTCGCCAGGTCAACATGACGCAGGCGGGGGTTTTCGACGTGGTGCGCGCAAATAGCGCGCCTGATATGGAGCGGGAGCTGCTCCCATCTATTAAAACGAGGCATTGTGAGAGGCTTGGGTGTGAGAGAATGACGAACTTGTGAATTCGTTGTTCTGATTTTAACACCAGCTGGCGGGCATGCTGGGGAACTGCTGGGGCCTGTTCTTTGTTGCTCGTCCCATTCGTGTGGATGGTGTTCGTTCCATGCACCTCGCTTGCACATTTGATCGTGTGGTTTGGTAACCACACGATCAAATGCGCGGACGTGGGGTCGGCGAACAACGCATGGCTGATAATGCGCTTGTACTCCACAAGTGCAGATTACACGTGGCAGCGTGAATCTGCCCAAATGTCCGTTACATGCACGATGAACCCTGCTTAGGTGGCGGGGCAGTTGGGCGAATGCGTTCACGAAACCACGCACGTTTCGTCCATTCATTTCGCCTGTCTGACTCCTGGCCTAGAAACAAGGATAATCAGGGTTGGCATGCCTTGTTCTGGACTGCACGTGCATTGGTGGCCGTGGCGCGTGTACTGTTGCCAGCCACCCATGTGCTTGTACTGTGGGAGCAGCAAGCAGGGGTTTCGAGTTCAGGGGCAGCGTTTCCATCCGGTGCATGGCGAATTCGCGTGCACTGGTCGGGCATCATGTGTACACAACCAAGTTAACGAAAAAAAACCAGGTTCGGGAAACTCCAGGATTAGGTTCGGTGGGAAAGTCCTGAACCAATCGCGTCAAAAACCCAATCAAAACTTTCGACCAATCACATGAAAGTGATGACAGTTTTGAGGTCGACACGGTAATTCTGGATGTGCCCTTCAAAAAAGAAAGCATCACAGCTCAGAGTCGTTTCCTTTTTTCCGTGAGCTGCTCCCTGACCTTCGTGTTGGGAAGGGAGCAGCTTCTTTATATTTTTTTGTTCTACTTTCTTCATTAACATAATTCTTTATTCCAGCTAGCATCACATGATTTAAAACTGGCATACACTTCAGCACTTCCAAGCAGCCTTGTTATATCCTGCAATAACTACACCGAAATCCCACACCCTCTCCTCTCCACATTCAAAACGTTCCATTCCGCTCCAACCCAAGCACCCTCGTCCTTGCATCTGCCATTTAACCAGTGCTATCCAGCATCACCCTCACCATCCCATCAGCATTGGCCACACCAGCTGCAACATCAGTATCAACCTCAGTTTCGGAACCACCAGCCTCTGCTACAAAATCAGCCTCTGCTCCAAAATCAGCCTCTGCTTCAGCACTTTCAAAACCACCCACATTCACGACAACCCCGACGCTCCCAACACCAGCATTTTCAGCATCAACTCCTTTCAAACCATCCCCATCTTGAACCGCCCCAACACCCTCCACAGCATCTTCCCAACTCCCCTTCCCACTCTCTCCTGCCGCAACTTCCCCCACCATATGGCTCTCAGCTAAGAAATACTTAGCAAAAAGCCCCCCAGGTTCGTTCCCCGGGCAGGGCGGTGGAGGCGGGGGAGGGGGGGGAGGGAAACCGAGGAAGCGGGCAAGGAAGCTTCCCGCAGCACGGAGGAAACCAAAGAGGGAGCATGGGGGGGGAGGGCCCGAGGGGTGAGGAGGGAAAGGAGGGCGGAAGGGAGGGGAGAAGGGAGGAGCGAAGGGAGGGGCGAAGGGAGGGGGGAAGGGCGGAGGGGGGTGGAAGATATTAAGGTCTATAGTGGGGAGGATAGGAAGGGGGACAGCGTTGTTGGGGAGGGGAGTATGAGCGCAGGGGGGAGGGGGAAAGGGCGGAGGGGGACAATCCTGCCCAGGGGGGCAGGGGCGAGGAGGGGGGCAATCTTCCCCAGGGGGGCAGGGCCTATGGGGAGGCGGAGGGGGGCAGTCTTCCCCTGGCGGGCAAGGGGGAGGAGGGCAGTCTTCCCCAGGAGGGCAAGGCCTATGGGGAGGCGGAGGGGGGCAGTCTTCCCCTGGCGGGCAAGGGGGAGGAGGGCAGTCTTCCCCAGGAGGGCAAGGCCTATGGGGAGGCGGAGGGGGGCAGTCTTCCCCTGGCGGGCAAGGGGGAGGAGGGCAGTCTTCCCCAGGAGGGCAAGGCCTATGGGGAGGAGGGGGACAGTCTTCCCCAGAAGGGCAGGGCCCATGGGGAGGATGCGGAGGATGAGGGGGAGGGTGGGGAGGTCTGCACGCGCCCATGTGGAAGCATGCCGGAACGACCTTCTCCCACGGCTTGATGTGGATAACGGAGATGACCATAGCGAGGTAGGGGTACTGGTGGATGAACTTGCAGAGAGCCCTGATGTGCGGGGGAGAGTGCTCGTCCTCTGCGTGGCTGCATATCCACTTGATCCGCGCGCGGACTGACTGTTCGATCAGATGGAACCCCTCGATGATGCACGTGTCGCAGGTTTCTTCGCCTCCTTCCTCTCCTTCCTTTCCTTCCGCTTCCCCTCCGTTTCCTCCTTGAGTGGTTGCACCAGTGGTAGCGCCAGTGGATGCACCGGCGGAAGCATCCTCAGAAGGTTCCGGAACGGATGATGACACCAGCATGCCGATGCTGTTCATGGCGATGTGCATGCCTCCCATGTCCATATCCATCCGTGCATGGTCGTGGCCCAGGAGTCGGCGCGAGGGCGTTGCGACGCGAACCTGGAATGGGGAAAGAAGCAGAAGGCAGAAGGCGAGATGGAATTACCTGCTTCTTCACCACGATACAGATACGAGATGTTACAGATACGAGATGTCACAGATACGAGATGTCACAGATACGAGATGTAGGTCGAATCTCTATTCCCCTGTAACTCCAACAGAGCATGTGAATATGAAGTTAAAACAAGAAGCAAACAGGGAACAAGAAATACTGAAAGAGAAGAATCACAGCAAATAGGTAACAGCGACACAGAGAAGCAAGCACCTCAACAGTATCAGCCTCGGCACCAGGCTCGGAAACGGCGTCCTCCTCGATCAGGCCCTCAGGTTCAGCAGCAGGCTCGGGATTTGGGTCGGATGCAGGGTGAGGCTTGGGCATGCAGGGCCCAAACTTGGCGCAGACCGAGACAGCCATGGAGAGCGGGTTGATGTGGATCTGGTCGAAAATGCCAATGGCTGATGCTGTGGTGAGGTTGGCGAAGAGGCGACACTGGTGGGGAAAAAAGGGATGCAGGCAGAGAGGAGAGAAGGGAGAAGCGGAGGAGGGGAGGAGGAAAGGGGAGGGGAGGGGAGGGGAGAGGAGGGAGGGGAAGGGAGAGGAGGAAGGGAGTTTCTTTTAGTCGCATCAGAAGCAGGATCCATGGCTGGAGCAGACCAAGACAGCCATGGAGAGAGGGTTGATGTGGAGGTTGGAGAATACGCCAATGGCTGATGCTGTGGTGAGGTTGGCAAAGAGGCGACACTGGTGGGATGGAGAGGGGGGTGGGGAGCGTGGGAAAAGGGGAGAGGAAGAGGCAAGCAGAAGAGCGGAGTAGAGGAGGTCAGGTGAGGAGAGGAGAAAAGGAGAGAGGAGAGGGGAGAAGAGGAGGAGAGAGGAGACGAGAGCACAGGCTTATGAGGGAGGGAGGGAGGGAGGTGGAGCAAGCAGGGAGGAGCGAGGCCAGAGAAGGGATGGCTGGCGAAGGGAGGAACTCACAAAGTGGCGGTGAGGAGGGTCTGTTGCTGCTGCAGGAGCGTCTTCAGCGCAAATGGTGGAGTTAATGTCCTTGGAAAGGGCATTCAGAAGCGCCTCGGTCGCCCACGTGACGCACTCTGCAAGGCGGAGAGGGAGGGAGGGTGGGAGACGGAAGGAGGAGAGATGAGGAAGGACGAGGAGGGGACAGCACTGCACGCCCAGGTGAAACAGCATGCCCATTGCACGCCCAGGTGAAACAGCGTGCCCATTGCACGCCCAGGTGAAACAGCGTGCCCATTGCACGCCCCACAGCCGACAGCAATTTAAACAAAAGAGCGAACCCACACTATACCACACCACACCCTGCACCGCACTGCACCACACAGCACCGCACAACACCTCACCCCACCAAACTGCACCGCACAACAAACAGCCACCTCACCTCCGCAGGTCACCTCTTCCCCCGCCCATCGCACGCCCAGCAGCCGCCAGCAGCTCAAACGTCAGCTGAACGCACCCACACCGCACCATACCCCACCACACCGCACCATGCCCCACCCCACACCGGACTGCACCACACAGGACCACAACACACGGCAATACCTCCGCAGGTATGTTCGTCCCCCGTCGCCTCTGCGCCCGGGCCGTACAGCACGCGAATCGCGCGCCCCACAGCCGCCAGCAGCTCAAACGTCAGCTGAATCGCGCCCGGCGGAGGGGGAGGCGGCGGAAACGGCGGATGACGGTGTGGATGCGAGTCCGGGTGCGGACCGACGGGGGGATGCGGGCCGAAGGGAGGGCGCGGATGGGGATGCGGACCGAACGGGGGGTGGTGGGGATCAAAGAAACCGAAGGGTCCGCCCCGACGGGGTCCGTCTGAGCCGTCGTCGGCGGAGGCGAAAGGATCGCGCGGGGAGCCCTGCGGCCAGTCGGGTCGGACTGGCCTATCGGGGTGGTCGGGACGGGAGGGCCTGTCGGACCCGTCAAGCCTGTCGGGACGGAAGAATGGGCCGGCGAAGGAGGCACGAGGAGGACCGTCAGGGCCGCCAGGACCGCCACCGGGACCGCCAGGACCGCCAGGGCCCAAAGGACCACCGGGACCATCAGGACCGTCGGGGCCCCAAGGACCACCGGGACCGTCGGGACCGCCAGGACCACCAGGGCCCCAGGGACCGCCGGGACCGCCAGGACCGCCAGGGCCCCAAGGACCACCGGGACCGCCGGGACCGTCGGGGTGAGGAGGGCCGAACATGGGGTAGAGGAAGGACTGGGGCACAACGAACTCATTCCCCTGCGAACCACACACACACACACACACAAAGAAAGAAAAAAGACGATAGAAGGAGAAAAGTTATTTGCGGGTTGCAAGGGCAGATATATATTTTAGGCGACTCAAACAGTGGAGGAGGAGGACTGCGATGGAGAGGGAGGAGTATTTGCAGACTGTGGGTCGTAAGGACCAAGAAAGACGGGGAGTAGAAGCAGACGTTGATTCTAAACAGCAAGACGGTGAAACCAATTACAGAAGTAATAGAATTTGCAGGAAGAAAGGGGGATTCGTGCTGTTACCGAAAAGGGAGGAGTGATGGGAGCGGGATCCGGATTGGGCTCCGTAGCAGCTTCGCCAGAAGCTTCCGCAGCGATAGCTGACGTGGCGAGCGCCGGGAGAAGCACCAGAAGCGCCAGAATCCACCATGATGACGTCAGGTGAGCCATAGAAGGGGAGCCAAGCCTGAATCACTCATCAGGTGGAAAGTGGGGTAACGAGCAAGAATACGTTGGGAAGGGGAAAGTTGAATGCTGAGCGTAAAACATAAAACGGTTAAGCTGAATGCTGAGTATAAAACGGTTGGAGATGGACTGAAAGTCGAAGAGCCTTTGAGAAGATGAACACGGAAATATGGTTGACATCATGCGAAGAAAATCTGAACGCAAATTCGAGACGATAGCTGGAGCTTCTGGCTTGCTAGAATGCTTCCAGAAAAATACTCGTTCGGAAACGCGAAGGTCTGGGAAAATAGCGGGAGATTCACCGTTGAGCAATAATATTTTGACCACGAGAAGCGTTGGCAGAGAACGCGAACAGAATCAAGCACCGCCGAAGCGCTTTCCCCACAAAGAAGTTGATGGCCCGCCAAACTAGAAAGAACTACTCCCTCCAATGAAGGAAAGAACGAATATATACAAGATGGAGGAGCTCCGAATATAAGCGTCGGTCAAAATGGCGGTCCCGCTCTTGGCCCTAGGATCAGTCAACGGGGAGCCAGTCAAGCGAAAGCATTTTCGGAATTCGAGGAATTGCTGCATGCACTAGTGGGAGAGGAAGGAGAGAAGCCAGGGAAAGGAAATGTGAACCCTATACACCGAAATCGAGGTTACAATCGCACTGGATTAAACTCTCCTTGTCGTCATCAATCAGCAAAAGATTAACAACAATATAACTTCTCAGTCAAACTTTAGACTTACCCTGCGCTCATGCACACAGACGATATGTGAAATGTACCACTGGTGACAATTAAACTCATGATGTGCTTGCATCTTATTGGAGACTTCACGAAATCGCTAAACGAGAAAGAATCATATAACGAACAATTAGTGCGCAGCTCCTGGTGTCATAAGGGATGTGATGGTTGCGCCAGGCATTGGCATCCTTATCACCTTGATGGTCTTCTGCCCGAAGAAAGATGTTGACTGGGCAGATATCAACATCGTAGGAGGAACTCGCCCATTTTCGACTTGTGGTTACTCTGTTATGGCGAGAGAAAAACAAACTTCACAAAAACGTGCTGCCCGAGTCGGAAGTTTTGAACCATCGGAGAAACCCGTCAGTCAACACAAACCCACGACGGGTCAACCGCCAATTACCCCTACTTTCTCCATTTACTGCGATGTCTCTTGGTGAGGATATCCTCGTAATTCTGCTGTTTCACCTTCAGTTTTCGTGACCATGGAATGTTCTTCCAACACATACATGATGATATAGAATGCACTCCCTTCAATAAATCCACATCTAGCTTTCTCAAATCTCATCAATAACTACCACACCACAATGCGGTACCGGACAGGTCTAGTAGCTCCTCTCCCTGATCACAAGAACCATAATAGCTATGGATGGAAGCTTTATTGAACTCTTTACTCCCATGCTGCATTTCACGCATCCATGTTGCATTTGGCCTAACACCAGCTTGCCGCCATGACAATCTGAGCCTCGAGGCCTCCCTGCCTCAGGTTCTCCGCAAGCGTATTGAACACGCCCTGGCCAATCTTCTTGATAATGGTAGTCATGATTCCGGCCATGCTCCTCAGGTCCTTGATACTGGTCACACCAACACCCAATGCAGAGTTGTAAAACTGAACTGCTGAGTCTGTGACAGCAGCCTTGCACTTGATCCAATCCAGAAGATAAGTCTTCACGCAAGCAGAGTTTTCGTTGTTAGCAGCCATAAGGACGTATTCCTGAAACCTTTGACTAGCTCCTGGGGTTCCGGGGCCCCAGACAGCAAATACACTGCTCTTGACGTCATCCGAGTTCTTGACGTTGTTCCACAGTGTCTGTGCGCTGCAGTCGTCCTTCCTCCACCACATATACCATCTGCACATGACGGACAGAGCGGTAGTACAGAGTCACATTCACGAATTAAGCATGACTATGTACCACGCATTGAAAGTTTGCTCAAAGGTCGAATGCTGGACTAGAAAATCGAACTTAAGTGCTAGAATCCGCACGGAACCTGTATTACGACCTGCTGGCGTAGCACGGAGGGGGCGAAGTATCGCATGCATCGCACGAGCACGTTTGCGCGACGGTAACAGAGGCTTGGATCGCGATAGCGACGACGAAGCAGATTCGAGCGAGCGAAGGAGCCATCAAGTGCGAAATAAAGGTCGAAAGTTGACACTAGCGAGTCTACTGAAGGGGAGGAAGCAGGTGATCTAGAGCGGATTTTAGGAGCTTTGTTTTGGGCTGGGCTTGTTTGGCGTATTACCGGACTGGATAGCTCGCCTTTTATAACCAAGCTTGTGGGCAACGACAATCGCCTAGGCGTCGTGTGCATACGCCAAGGTGGTTCGCGCAGCATGCCGCGCGTGTCACGGAGCATCTGGCGACGACGACGAAGCTTGCGACGCAACATCCTGGAGGGAAGAAGGGGACGTAAGAGAGGGAAACCTGAGCGGACAATTATTGGTGTACGATATATTCCATGGGCCTGGACTGCGATTTGACTTCGTGTCGGCCCAGCATGACTAAACAGGATGTCTAAGCCGATGCGCAGCTTGTACAGTCGATGCTCAGCCTATCACAAAACATTTGCTCCTCACAATTAGAAATTTAGTCACTCGCGAACGTTTTGCCCGTGAGTGACTAAATTGACCATTGTGCCGATTTCAGGGTACAGTCACCAAGTTGAGGAAGAAAAACATCTACAGCTCATAAACAACAACGGTTGCCCGTCATCAGAGAAGTTAATGTGGTTACAAAATTTAAACCCTTAACTCGATTCACGTTGCAATTTCATATTACAGTCACATTTTTGCCCGTGGTGACAAGGGCGAATGTGGCGAAATGTCTCAAACTCTTTTCGCGCACATGCCGCTCGCCTACCTGGTGCTCTTGAAACGGGCACCGACTGTATGGCACAATTATTGGTCCACCCAGTCCGCCATAGGAGGCGATGCAGAGCAACGACGTCTCACCCCCAGCTTGTTCTCACGACGCAAATCAATTTCAGCGTAAACCAAATGGTTTTGTGCGATCAAGTAGCAGCCAGTATGGTACTTGTACCTGTGATCCTGAAGGAAGTTAGCACATTGGCTCCGCACAGCTTTTGCATCCGCGGAATCTGCGCTTTGCGCTGAGGCTGCGTTTGGGGTGGGGTGCAGAAAGAACGGGGACTGACCTCGAGGGAAATAAGGGCGTATCCCCGGGTGGTGGCTGGGCCTCTGTAGATGGCAGAGTTGGTGGCATGCGGGAAAACCGCATGCCACCAACATTTCTACCGAGGCGCGCGCGACTCGTATTTGGTGGCATTGAAGTGACATTTTTGGGACATTGCCCAATCACGCACCTGTATTCGCGCGCCAAGTTTCCTGACACCAACCTGGCGTTTTGTGTGTTCGTGGCAGGCTGCCATCTACAGTGGCCCTGCCACCAGCCAGGGATACGCCCTAATGTAGCGGAAATCAGGGGAGAAGCCGTGATGCCTTTCGCTTCCCCAGACGCAGGTGGGCAGAGTTTCCCGACATGCCAAACGTCAGCCTCTGCTTCGGGTGGGCGGGTCATGCGAACGAAAGGGCCTCAACGACTCGAGGGAATGGTGCGGGGCTTGTGCGAGATCGCGAATTAGGGCGGGTCCTTTTCGTTCGTTTGAATGCGGCTCAGTGAGATGTCTCGCGTTCTACAGCAGTCAAGTTAGTTTCCAAATCGGTCGGGATGGGTATTGACTAGAAATGAATGAAAATGACGCGCCCTTACGGACCAAAACCAGTCTGACTAAATGATGGCGAGTGTCGAAACTAAGCAGTATAATAATTCGCCAAGGATCGCCTCGCAACCGAGAAGCACACTCCCGTTCCCGCTCAAACAGCTGCTTCGATGCCGTTAGTAGAGTCGTACTGATATTTCCCGACTGATGAATTCAGGACTCAGTTTTTTTTTTTTTTTTTTTTTTTTTTTTTTTTTTTTTTTTTTGTGGAAGTAAATCTTCATCAACATCAATAACAATAATTATAAAAATAAAGGCCCTTGAAAATCAAGCACCATGTCATAGCAGCTCATATTGACTACAAGAACTGCATAGGACCTTCTGGCATGCATAAAAATGAACCACCTATCTTGAATAAAACTAACCCCTGAAACCTATACACAAAAGCTGCGGGTTTAGTATGCGAGTGCGCCTGCTTCTTGAAGGATGGGGATGAGATCCCTGTTGTAGTTCATGCTGATCACGTCTGTAGCGCAGAGAAAAGGAGGTAGAGACATAAGGGACCATGTTAAGAACACACATGGCATATGTTAACACGCAATGGGGAAACGGGTGCATGAGATGAGACCCACCACTGCGCAGCCAATTAAGCGTAGGTTGATGAATAAGGAGGGCATTAAATGTATCATACTCGCTACAAGCAGCACTAAAACAAGAATTGCTCTACACATTGGAATGAACAAGGATACTACTCACCATCTAGACCGCCGACGAAGCGTCCATTGACGAACAAAGCGGGTATCGTATGCGAACCAATCATACTCGCCACAGCGTCCTCAAGTTCCTCGCCGTCATACTCTTTATCGAGTTCGCAAACCTGGTGGGAAAGAAAGATTGTAAATTGTGGAGAACAATACCGAAGAGGGGGGATATGTAAGTGGGAACACAGAGCACAGAAAGCGACAAGCGGGCAGGGCAGCACTACGAGGAATAGAGTCATAGTAGTTGGAGGGGAACACTACTAGGAATAGGATCACATACTACTGGGGGTAGGGGGTGGGAGGGGAGGGGGGAAAGGGAAGGAAGGGGGGAAAGGGAAGGAAGGAGGAAAGGGGAGGAAGGGGGGAGCATCACTACTAATTGGGTAACACAGTATTAGGAGGGGAGCTCTATTGAGAAGTTAGGGTTACACACAGCACAGCACTGGCTTGACTTACACTGGGTCGCACGCCGAGTCCGTGCAGCACGCTCTTGACCTTCATGGACGAGGGGTCATAGGATTTACTGCAAGAGGTCAACAAGGGACAGAAAACAGGGGACAGACACGCACGGGAATAACAAGTCAGCGAAGGAATAAAAAACACGAGAGAAGGTAAAGAAACTGTGCAGCACGCTCGTGACCTTCATGGACGAGGGGTCGAAGGATTTATAGCGGGAGGTTGAGAGGGGACGGACAAGCACGGAAAGAAAGGAAAGAGCGCGAGAGAACATCAAGATGCCGTAAGGAGGAAGAACAAATGTAAGGGAGGGGTCAACTGATTCACAGCATGTGGACGAAACCGACGGACGGGCACGAAAAGAACACGACCACATAGTTGGAAGCACTGCCGGAGAATTTTGTAAGTTCGAAGTGATATCGCCGTGCCATCGTAAAGGAGTGCGGTACAGAGTGTCGAGAGGGACGCTGTTAAAGCGTTTCGAAAATGACTTAACCGGAGCATCTTACCTGAATAGCATGACTCGGTTTTCCTCCACCATCATGTGCGTCCGCTGCATCGACTTGGGACTCGCCTTGCTGGCCTCGGCGCCCATGCTGACTGTTTTGAAAGGAGCGATATTTTATAGCGGCTTGTTTTTTAAGTGTTGATCGACGGACGGTTCTGCTTCTGCTTCGCCTGCTCAAAGCCTGTCTCTGCGTGTACGGCCAACTCGCTGAACTTCTGACAATGTTTCGCCGGAGATATGCTGAATGGTAGTTTGAGTTTCGAGAGGCTTCACTTCCAGATTAGGGTCGATACAAGATGAGGGAGGGAGGGTCGCATGAAACAGCCAAGGCCAAATCAACTCATCAACCTGACATTTCAAAGCGCACTGACCAAAGCCGAGCCGTCAGCTTCCCAGGGCCGACGCGGCCGAGATTATCGCGGCTTGGAAAAACATCCGAGCCTCTGAATTAGCCATGCGCGTTCTGGCATGTGTTTGGTGGGTCTGCGGGCAGGTACGCTATCTGCTTACATACTGTAAAAAACGAGGGATGCTTTCATTGGGAATGTCACACCTCGCAAAAAGCTCCATTCCCAGAGTTATCGACGCTTAACCACGGGAGGGCGTTAGATGTGTAACTAATTTTCGCAATACGAAACCTCACATTCGAGGTCTGTACTTTTGGTAAACCCCAAGCGAAAAGGATATCATTTTATTTCAAACCAGGGACGCAGGCCTCCGAAAGAAACCTGCCAGGATGGTTTGCAGAACAGGTTTGGACCAAAGAGCTGAGGCTCGGGAACAGCCTTCCACATAATCACCAGCCGCGTCATTTTAGTCACAACCACCGCGACGCCAGACCATAACAGTTCGGATCTGTGCTTTATTAAGAATTTCGGTTGTCCCACAAAATGCGTCTACACTGGCTGAACACAATCAGAGCTGCGTAACCACATACAGAGTGACTAGTCTAAATGGATCTGGAAGCACCCCATTGTCCATCATTTCCTGATTAAAGTTTGCAATTACAGCATGTACAATTGTTTATAAGAGGTATAAATAGCTCTCAGAAACCACTTGCTGCAAGCATATATAAACAATGCCATGTGTGTTTCTTTTGTTCCTTGCCATTTGGATGCTCGACTCGAGCATGATGGCTACAACTTTGATCAGTCTAACCCTTCAAATCTTCTTGGGCTCATGAAGCACCTGCACATGGACACAACAGCCCAATGAACACTTGGTGAATGACTGATAGTAGCACAAAGGATAATACTTTATCATACACATGGCATGCATACTAAATAACCTCACCTGGCCGTGGTGCAAGATGTACTGCCGCTGGTGCTCTTAGTGAGTTCTATCCTCGCTATAGATCGAATCGCTGTGCTGCCTATGTCAAAGGCCAGCATCGGCTTCCTGTTGATGCATGCAGAACGTCGATAAGCTATCGACTGGTTCACTGGGGTTCCAGGACAAGGCCTGCAAAGAAACAGGGAATGGAGAGCAGAGGAAGATTTTGAGAGGAAGGGGAGTATGAGATGGAGGGAAATGAGAAAAGGGAGGAAACTAAAGAGGAAGGACGGAATTGGGAGGGGAGGATTGAGAGGGTTCTAGGAGGACTGAAAGGAAGGAAGGGATTGATAGGAAGGAGGGAACTATGAGGAAAGAGGGGACTGAGAGGAAGGAGGCGATTCATATTAAGGACGGGACTGAAAAGAATGAGGGAATTGAAAGAGGTGTATGAGGAACGGACAGAGATATAGGAAATGCTCACGCTTCAGGGTTATTAGACACCACGCTCCATTGCTTATCCGGGGAGTTTGGCGGAGTATCCATTATAACAGTCAGCCCTCCCGTGCACCCCCCCACATCCAGCATCATCAGCTGCACGGATGAAGGGTAGAAGAATGCAGGGCCTATTTCCG